GCATTCCTTTAGAAGAACGGTCACCTTCAGCAATAGCACCCAGAAAAAGACGAAAATATTAAAAGACAAAACATACACTAACTCATTTAAGCCAACACCTTAAGGTAAAATTTAAAGGCAATGAAAGTTAAAAATAAAACAAAATAAAATAAGGCTAGGAATTATTAGTTGCATGTTAGACATGCTTCAAGAAGATAATGTGTCATTGTTCTTGATGTTAGACATGTGAGACCTCTGATTTAGAAATTCTTTGCTTCTCATTATATTATTATTCAAAACAGGAAAAAAAGGCGTTCACAATGTCAATGAACAGAAAGGCATTATTGAAATTTGTACAACATATTTTTTTCATTAATAAATATAATAAAATAAAAAGTCAAGAAAATATGAACAAGCCTACTCATTAACTAGTTTGCCCATGATGTATCTTGTTTTACCTGTTTCTGGAGGTCAGCTATCCCCTTCTGAGCAAGATTATTGTCACGTTCATGCCTCCTTAAATCAACCTACAAAAGAAAAAAACGCAAGAGCATAAAATGGTAGCAACATGAACAAAAATTAAGCATAATATCAACACCAACAATAACACTAACAATAATATATAATAACCATTAGGAAGAAAATTTGATAAACGTGTATAACCTTCAACTCCTGGATCGTTTTCTCCAAGTTTTCCTGTTCAGAAATTGATATTTGCAGTTTTTGGTTGATCAAAGAGTATGCCTCAACCATTCTCTCATGTTCGGCTGCATAAATTTTCAAAGGTGGTTTCAGTTCATAGAAATAAATCTGGTCAAAATTAAGGTTCAAACTGAATCAAAACAACAAAAAATAGCTAATAGAAACATCCACTTTTGAAGGAAAAGCTTAAATCCCAGCCTTTAGCTGTGCTCCAAGGCCAAAGATATTTTTTTGTAAGACGGGCAACTTTTATTTATAATAATAATAACAACAACAATAGCAAATACAAAAGGGGACAAGAGGTCCACTAAGAAAACAAAAAAAACCAACAAATAACATGAAACAATCCTTAAGACCAACTAAACCAGACCCCACAAAAAAGCTCAATGACAAATACTATGCCACTCCCTTAGTAAATCTGAGAAAGAAAACCCCAGTACAACCTTTAGAATGGAAAATCCACAAAGCTAGCCAATATTTAATCCCATCACAAATGTCACTACCAACTCCTTGTATGTCTTCAAAGATTTGATTGTTTCTTTCGGGCCACAAAGACCAGATGACAGTAAGAACGACTGTATTCCAAAGCCTTCTTTTCGAATTAGTCCAAAGCCAAAGATATTAAGAACGGTGAATTTAAACGTGTTACAATCCAACACATTAAGCTACTACCTCATTTTCACTTGACCCTCACCGCATCAAACACCTTCCAATAAACAAACCGACTAAAAATCTTTGTGAAATCTTAGAAGATCTTAGTTCTTAATTTTTAAACTTAATTTTCAGAAGTATTGAACTCACGGTTATTACGTAGGTGGCCCAAAAGAGTACAAAGCCCAGACCATGTGGGAGCAAACCACGAGCCCGAAAGCTCAACTAGCCTCTCAAGGTTGTCAAAGACATAAACCGATATGGCAGCTCATGGTCTAGCAAAATTTAGTCTTAGGTCAGATGAAGATGTTGCTTGGTTGGAGGAAATTTCTCAGCAGACTGCCTTTAATAGATATAATTCTCTTATTGACAAGAAACTACCTGTGCTCTAACACCTTTACCGCTGCTCAAATTCTATCTCAAAAATGCTCCTTCTTACTCTTTATTATTTTTTACTATAGTACATGAGGTATGTTAATAAAATCCAAAAAGGTATGTTAATGAGGTTTGAGTTTCTTATTAAAAAAAAAAAAGGAAGTATGTTAAGTTATAGCTCATATTCATTACAAATGCATTGAATGCGCATGAGATGCTGGTTTCTCTGATGCTTCCACTAAAAGGACTACAGAAATCAGTAGCTTGAAAAGAATAATTAGGCAAAAGCATATACCTCTTTCATCCAAAATCAGTTCAGCTTTCTCCTCTAGTTCATAAAGAACCTGAAAAAACAAGGGAATAGACAAAACTTCAGGCATCGAGAACTACTACATCTCACCAAATAATTATCACACACAACACAGTTCTCTATCCACTGTAGCAAGTCAGCAACTAATAAAAGGCAGAAAAACAAAATGAAGGTACATAGAGGCCATGATTTGTAGATATAGAGATGGTAGTGCAGGAATTATGTAACATTTTGTCTACCATTTTGAACATATAAGAGTGAAAGACAGAGACAAATACATGTATCTCTGTATATGTTCAAAGAAAGAATAAATGCATTGTTGAGACCATACCCGTTGCAGTACTGCCTCAGATTCCTTTCTACCCAACTGCTCATGCCTCAAGGCATCAACAGCTTCTTGGTACTTTGCATACATTTTAGCAAGCTATTACAAAAGAGATGAGTAAAAGAACATAAGCAATAGGAAAGGCGTGTTCAAACAAAATTAATCAAACAGATGAGACAAACAATATAATTAAGCTAGCCACGCACACTCCAGCCATCACGCAGAAGTGAAGCTGCCAATGCAGTTCCCGAAACACCTGCTGGAATTCTGGGAACAATCATGTGGTCGTTCTCAAGCATGTCATTAGTGTCAACTGAACTGATCCATCTGCAACTTAAAAGTCAACGTTAGAAGTTCATATGTGTGCTTACTAGTACAAGACACGCAAAACATATATTTGCATGAAATATTATAATACTATTACATGGTTTCAAAAGAAAAATAACCATTCCGACGTTTTTAACAGATGTATTAAAACAGAGAATTAAGCTTCCCCAAAGTTCAATATTACACCATGAGAAATCTTCCACAATCTAGGGAGCAGAAACAATAAAAATTCATTCCAACAAATGAACACTTCAACATTTGACTTATGTTCTGTTCCCAAAAAATATTTAGCTTGTCATAGCTTCTAGCTGTTTCATGATGTAGCTTTTCATGAGAAGAAAATCCAAGAACACAAAAAAACTCATTGACAGAAACCAGAGTTTCAATAGAATCAAGAGAAACAAAGATAATGTATATTAAACAAACAAGAGGAACCTACGTTTGAGTCGTAAAATTAGTGAGAGGAAGAAGATTCAACTCATTTGCTTTCCTGCTCGTTTCAATTTCAGCTTCACATTTGTCAAGTTTTACTTTCAGTTCAGCGGCCTCCTGAAAACATAAAATTTCGGACAAGAAATAGTATAAGCAAAGGAAACAATTAGTTTAATATCTAGATTTACCATTTCCAAAGTATACCAAATAACATCTTTACAATCCATCTTTGGGCTCCCCAATGAAAATCTTAAAGTTCAAAAACAAGATATACCATACACGGCCAAAGAAACAATGATACAACAAAGTCCCATACAATCATTATTATAATATTCAAAGCAACATTAAGTAATGATGATGTAATAAAAGACTGCTCTAAAATTACTTGGATAATAGGAAAACAGTACTCCTTATAATTTATACAATAATCTAAATTCACAAGCAAAACCATTTCCCCCAACTCTTATGTATCTGCTGAATCTCATCCTATTCAAAAACCTGAAAGCAGTTTTATTTAGTAACCAAACCGAGAGCCATGGATAACATTAATCGCCAAAGATCTGTCACTAATATTCCACTAGCAAGTGGAAAATAATAGCTTCTTTGCCAACCAAAAGTGAGAAATATAATTTTTTTGGTAGAAAAGAAAACTTAAACATATGCCATAATACACAATATATTTTACATGTCTGGGGAAAAAATATACAATAGAAGCTAACCTTTTCAAATTGATGCCTTGCAGATACTTCCTTTTCAAGTCTTTCGCTGTAATCATTCTGAACTTGACTAAGATGTGTCTGCTCAAAATAGCAGTAAAGGAACACATAAGGGGGGAAAAAACCCCAAAATGCTAATTCAAATTCATTAAAATAAAAGATCGGCGACCAAAAAAAAAATCACCTCCAAGGCTTTGATCACGCCTTCAAGGTCTCCTGCCTTTTTGGACCATTCCTCAGAACTTTCCTTGTATAGTTCCACAAGTTTGTTTGCCTAAAAATTTGGGAATGATTCACATAAAACATAATAAAGGTGTTAATAAATAAACACATATCTTCAAATGGCCATTTTTTCTCCAAGAATGGAAAGATCTCTCGTAGAACGCACTATTGATAGTTCAGCTGAGAGTTGCTCGTCGTTTGCTGCAGCCACCTCTTTCGTTGATCGTAACTCCTACACATTAATAAGGAAATATATAGTATCCAGGAAACAACGAGGAATGACAGTCAACAGAATTTTCAAACCCCAGAAATATCACCTCCTGCAATGAGGTTAGCTTCATTTCAAGCCCTACCACCCGATCCTTGTTCCATTTTAAAGAGCTAGAACATTCATCGAATTGTCTCTGAGCCTGAACACGTTAACAAGAAATTAAGCATTCTGGAAAAGTCGGGAGTTTCTTCGGGTTTATGCATAAAATAGAATTTATTAACTAAACAAATTTTGGCAAAGAACATAAAGCACAAGATCTCGAAACCAACATACATGTGTAAGCTTGGAAGACAAATCTGCCTCCACATCAGCATGTTTCCTACGCAACTCAATCAGTTCGTCAACTTTGGCTGTCAACTCATCATTAAGCCATGTATTATGCCTCTCAATAAGCTCTTTCTCCTGCTCGCATCCGAATTTGGCATGGTGAGAAATAGAACTCCAAAATAAGTTAAAAGGGTATTAGAAGTGTCAATATTAAGCAACGTCAAGCCAGTCCATTAAAAGTAAGCCCTTATAGGCAGAAACTTGGTAGGTAACCTAGCCTATATCATCAAGAAACCTAAGCAAAAGAAAATACGAGGAAAGGACAAGCTCCCCCTGTACCATCCTTAGAAAATCCATCAACAGAAAATAAGCATGTAAATTTGATGAATTCAGACATAATCAAACTAACATTTTAAAAATGATAGTTAACCAAACATGCAAAATCTAATCTAAAATTACTAAATGTTTTAAAATTTTGCATCTAGCTTCTAGAAAATTTACAATTGCACTAAGAGAGCACAGATAAGAATTTGCACTAGGTAGCTACAATTAACATCCAAATGGAACTCATGAAAGAATAAGATCATTGTCTTATTGCATTTGCACTTTCAAATTCAGAGAGAGAGAGAGAGAGAGAGAGAGAGAGAGAGAGAGATCAACACTTGATCAGATGCATCAGAACATCAACGAAAAACAGATGAAAATAAGTGTGCCGCTCACCAACTTATAAGGAGTTCTATATAAGGTTTCTATGAACTCATGCACAACAGTCTATATAAGAGGTTAGCAGAATTCTAATCCCAGCCCTCCCCGGAAAAATGAAAAAAAAAAAAAAAAAAAAAAAAAAAAAAAAAGAAAAGAGAGAGAGAGAGAGAGGAGAACAAAGAGTCAAAAGTCATATAACCTGCGAAAGACGAGTACAGGCAGCCTGGGATCGTGCCAACTCTGCTTCAATCTCGTTCAGCCGAGCCTCCCTTTCCGCAGCATTGTCAGTCAAGTTAACCTTCAGAATATCAATCAAAGGCAATTAGAGAAACATATTTGACTTCCAAAGTCCAGAAAGGGTAGCAAATGCTATGCTAGAAAAACTTACAATCTTATCAAGATAGCTCTTGATGGTGAGGTTCTTTTCACTAATCTCTGAATCCTTCTGCTCCACCAACTCTAACAACTGCCTTTTCGACTTATGGAACTCCGAAACCTCTGTTTTAAGCCTTCCAATCTCCCCATCTTTTTCAATCTACAAACCCCGCCAACCATATCAATCCCAAAACCAGCAATCACATAACTCTCTCATAAAAAGATCGCAAGTATCCATTACATACATGATACAACCATTTGAAACCCAAAAAGATACAAACAATTTTTTTTTTTTGGGTTATATCCCAAATAAAAAGCAATTGATATACCCAAGAACGCATACATCAAAATCTAAAAATGAATAAATAATTATTGTACCCAATAAAACCCAATACATTGTGCTTGTTAGGTCCCAAATACAATGCAATTACTCTCCACAACAATATATAAATAACATTTGAACATAATAAGAATTTTAAGTAATAGACATAAAGCTTGCATAAATTTCCTCAAAAAAAAAAAAGAAAAAAAAAAGCCTCAATAAGAAATAACCACTTGAAAACACCAACCAAACTCAGTACCATTCACTTCATCAATTTGAAAAACACAGTAAGACATACGCATAAGGAACTACAAAAAGCAAGCACACAATCTTCAAAAAAATAAATAAATAAGTAAATAAATAAAGAATGAATGAATTGCACAGTTTAAACCCCAAAACTCAAAGATTAAAAGAAAAGAAACTTGGTACAATTTGGAGATGAAGCTGGTGCTTCTGAGACTGGACTTCGGCGAGGTCGGAAGCGGAATGATCGAGGGAGGACTGGAGTTGCGCGTTTTCAGATTGGAGGAGAGAGAAGTCGGATGAGAGAGATAGGAACTTGTTTTCGAGGAGAGAACAGGTTTGCTCGGCGGTTATGGCGGCGGCGTCGGAGTGAGCCCTGAGGGTCTCGAGCTCTCTCTGGAGGTCGCGAATGAAGGCGTCGGCCCTCTCCGCCACGGCGGCGCCGTCGTGGCGGAGGCCGGCGAATTCCTCGTCGGAGAGGAAAACCGGCATCGCGATTCGCGATTGATATTTGATTGATTGATTGATCGATGAAAAATGAAAATGGAAGTGAAATGGGAGAAGGAAGGACAGAGAAGAGAGGGAATTTGAAGAGACGAGAAAGGAAAGGAGGAGGGGAGAGAAGGAAGGAAAGAGCCCTCTTCTTTGTTGGATCTCTGCTCTGGGCTTCAATTATACGACCGTCTGGTATTTTGGGCTGGGCTGTGCACAATAGGCGGTTTTTTTAGTAGACGGGAAGTATCTAAAAATAGATACAATGTTATATAGTGGAAAGAAATTCAACTATTTATTACTTTTTCTATTCAAGGAATGACCAAGAATAAATTATGTAATGTTATAAAAGAATATAAGAAATTTATCTAACTATCTGAAAGAAGAAATAAGACAGGATTAAGATTAAAGATTAAAAAATTATTGTTGGATGCATCAAGTTGAATCTGAAAAATTGAAAATTATAAATAAAGGAACAAAAAACATAAATCATGATCAATATTAAAAAAGTAAGAAAGATTGACTTATCTAAATAAAGAAAAAAATCAGATAAAATTCCAATCAATCGAATAATAAGACTGACGCCATCACAGAGGCGTTGGAATGTTAAATTCCACTAAGGTGATTGCTATTTAGTTGAGAGAATTAAGTAAAAGAAGGTTGTTTAGACCTTCCCTACAAACCTCCATATCACCTTATTCAAGACAAGTTGTGTAGGCATGGACAAATCTGAGTGTGCATGAAAATGATCAAACGGTGTGCAAACCTGGGCAGTTTGCATCATGGCGCATTGTAGGACCAAATGCTATGCGTCCGTTTAGATTCTTTAGGGTTCTTCTGACGGACATATCCAATCCCTGCAACTTATGCATTTGCTTCTTGGAGCTTTATGGCTACTTCCACTAGTTCTTTTATGTTCCTCCATAGCTTGATGTATAAAACCTTTTCTTGGATATGTTACTCGCGGACAAATTGAACTCTATCCAATGGAAAGAAATGGAATTATTTAACTGTATCCAATGAAAAAAATGACTATTTCTTATATTGCCAAACTTGTGCCCACCTTAAACGAAAATAATAAAAATAATAAATGATAAAACAAAAAAATCCTTTGCGCTCCTTTGGTAATGCAATGGACCAAGGTGCTGGATGGTCATTATTTGTTCTCAATGATCCATTTTCACTTTCTTTTGAGCCTTAAATGCTGAAAAATAGATTATTAAACTGATTTAATCCTCCGATCAACGAGGCGCAAAATTTGTTCTGCCGATTGGACTTTGGAATAATAAACCTCAGAAAGAGCGTGTAAAGGAAAGCCATTATTCTCTCTCTAAATAAGCAAGAGCTCAGGTTTATAATAAATCAATGCCATCAATAATAATAGAAACTACATGAAAAGCCAGATACATGTAAGAGTCGAAAGATTTGGCATCCAAAACATGCATGCATACAATTACAAATAGAGAGCAGCCCGATAATATCCTCGACTTGATTTCTGACTGCTTTTTCCTCTCCCAAGTTAACTACGTTAAACTGCACAGCAAATTTTGATCATGATCACGGACGGGATCCTTTCCATTGCAGACTCCGACGAGAGAGGATTATTACCTCCGTACAGGTGGTACAACACCTCTACCAGCTGTTCCCCGGCCAGCAGCTTGTGCCTGCGCAAGGACAACCATAGGAGAACCATATACAAATGCACATCAACAAGCTAGGGATTCAAGTCTTTGGTGGAAACATAAACGTGGAATTTGATATGTGTCAAGGCAGAAAGGCACCAGAATATGTGTTGCATCCCTACTCTATCACGCATGGCAATCAAGCAATTTCATTTTGTTCTTTTGAACAATGCTATGGACAACGGGAAAAAAAAAAAATATATATATATATATATATATCATGAAAATGTGAAAACTTACTTTAGCCCGCATTGCAATCTACCCCTTCCGACTCCAAGTGATGCACCCTTACCCTTCAAAAAGAATACAAAAAAATTGTTCAGCAAAAGATAATTAAAATCATCAAAAGATTTTCATTAAAAAAAAAAAAAATGGATCGATGAAATGATACCTTGATTCTAGCATCAAGACGCTTGAACATTGGAGCGTTCTTTAGCATGTCCGGTACCACCATAAACCTGTCAAATATTCAATCATATTTTTACTCCTGAAAAGTTTAATGAATCCCTAGTTTAATTTGGCAGCACAAGGTATATAAGTAAAACAGCTTACCTAACTTTGCTGCCTCGAATAAACACATGCTCAAGCTGTGAAACCTTCCCGTCCTGTAATTCAGTAAGAAACTAATGTTCAGAAGAAAAAGAAGGGAAACAGATGGAGGGAAATGTTATTTTTACCCCCGAATTCCTAAAGTAGTTAAGCTGAAAGATTGATTCCAAACATCCCAAAACTAAGCACCCAAAAGTTGCTTATGATTACTTAAGTACAGAGTAACAGAACAAGAGAAGCAAAATGCCAGGGGATGAGTCAAGACTTTAATTCGTATATAAAACAATTCCACACAACCCATAACAAGATAATTTTTGAATTCTCATCGAAAAGGTAACACAAAATTTACATTGTGAGAACAAATTGCAACCCCGCGTATAAATTACTGAAAGATGTAAAACAGAAGCAATATAATTAACTACTAACATGTATTTACGATGCTTAGGATTTAAGCAGTTGCCCAGAAATGCGAAATCCAAAAATTCAGCATTCAAACTTTCCTCACAGTTTCTTACAGCTTTGAACTACTACAGAATCACCGCGTTAGATCGTATATGGGTACTGCCCCTAAGGTTTTCAAGAAATTTCACCTATTTCACGATTAAATCCCATCAGATCCATGAAATTTCGTCTAGCGTGGGTTTACAAAGATCACAGGGAAAAACGGAAGCAAAGAGAACACATATGAAAATGGAAAATGGAAAAGAACCTTGGCAGTGTAGGTGATGTTCTCGAGCTGGCAGTTCCAGTTATCCTCGCACTCGACCATGCCTCCTCTGTAAAGCTCGCCGCTCTTCAGCTCCACCGTCACCACATGCCCCGCCGACTCGTGAAGAAGCTTTACTGGTATTCCCAAGCTCCTGCTCATGGCTTCTTCTTCAAAAACCCTAATATCAGCACAAAAACACACACAAACACGCATTATTCAACCAAAGTTTCAGAAAATCACAACCATCAGCCACAAAAAATAACAACAATCAGCTGAAATAAAGAAAAATAATAAGAAAAGGGAGAACAAGGGTCGGTACCAAAGCTGACGAAGCAGAGACCTGGAGGAAGAGAAGAAGAAGAAGAAGAAGAAGAAGCGGGGAGGAGAACTGGAGAAGGAAGAAGCCGCGGCTGGGGACTGTCGAACTGAGAGTGAGACGTGCGTGAGACTTGAGAAAGAGTGAGAGAGTTCAGAGAGAGAGATGCATGGGGTAATTTCGGCTGGGTTTCAGAGAACTGGGCGGCTGGGTTTCAGAAAGAGAGAAAAGGAAAGTGAAACATTAATAGCTTCCTAATATTTATATCAGCAGTTAAAAAAATAAAAATATATATCAGATCTTTTTTTAAATAATCTTTCGTTACAATAAAAGGAGAGTCCCTTTTTGGGTGAAGACAAAACGTTTCGTTCGTTTCTCTCCCCAACATTAGTCTTAGAATACGTTTTTCAACGGAGAAGAAATTTTGTTCATTTCACTAATTTAAATTTAGAATTTAAGTTTTATTATAATAAAAAGTTCTCAGAAATAGTTATATTTAACTTTTTTATTATAATAAAAAGCTCTCATATAAAGTCACATCTCAACTTGAATTAAAAACTCAAATCAGTAAACTAAATGAGCCTAAAATTAATTTAGTGTGGTACGTCTCAGCAAAAAAAAACCACATGTTGAAGGGCAATTAGCTGGTTTTAGTGGTGGGATCCACATAGAAAGAATGAGAGCCGTTGAATTAAAAGTGGAGTCACATGTCGGTTCACAATTGGGTCACAAAAGATGCAGCTAGGGTTGATAATATGGGTCACGACACGACAACACGACTCGAAAACGACATGAATTTCACGGGTTAGGGTTGAAAAAAAAAAGGTTCGGGTCAGAATTATGTCGATCTGAAATTGACAAGAAAACACGGGTCAATTTCGGGTTGGACCCACCTAACCCGAACACGACACGAAACTCGTAAAAAACTAAAAAAATATATATTTTTCATTACATATTTTTTATTTTGTTATAAACTTGTGATATCATGATAGTTATACTCAAAATCTTATACTATTATTTGCTTAATTTCAATGGATGTTATTATATTTTAGTGTGTTATGAATTTTAAGTTATTTCTAATATGTAAAAACTAAATAAAATTATACAATTTTCGTGTCAATTTCAGGTTCACGGGTCAATTTCGTGTCATATCGTGTCAACCCGTAAAGTGGTCGTATAATGTTTGTGTTGTGGTTTTTAAACAATTTTGTGTCACGGGTCGTGTTTGGGTAAACTGTAAATTTAAAAAGAAACGATCAAAACGCAACACGTGACACGAATTGTCACCCTTAGATGTAGCACTGAAATGCATGAGAAAGAATGTGGCCGACAACGTTGACAAGTGGCGCATGTTCGTTGGCTGAACTGAGTGAGTGGTGGGCCGCATTTGGAGAAGACCTCTGCAATGCCTGTCCACTGATGCGCTCTTGTCGGCGCATGTTACGTACGCACAGATCTAAAACGTCCATTTGTTTGATCTGACGATCAGGAAAAAATACCGATTTTATTTTTTAATTATTATTTATTTATTTTAGAGTTATTTGTGGCCTGATTTTATCCGTTTAAACACCACTTTACACTAAATTTCTGATGCAACTTAGATAGAAATGCTAAAACTAAAATTAAACTAAAATACACCAAAATAAAAGAAAATCACGACAAAATAAGTTTTAAAAAATACATTAAACAAAATAGGGTCATGCCTGAGTTGCTACCACCACACACCCTTAAAAAAACTTCATAATTAAAACTTCGCCATATATATCGTATCGCGAGCTTTTCAGGCCAGATCAAATAAAATTTAGGCTACCATATTCTAACACATTTCTTTTATGCCTTTTTTCCCATTCGTTTTTTTTTTTTTAAAAGAAAACAATTTGCATATCAGTTATTTTAAATAAATCACACATGTAGTTTGGAATCATTCCCCTTTTCCTAATTACTATTATTATTATTTATTATGTTTATTTATTTATTTATTTTTAAGTCATTTGTAGCCCGATTTTTAGCACTATTTTGCACCGAATTTTGATGCTACAAAGATAACAATATATAAATAATTTGTATGAATTATAACTATTTTACTACCATCTTGCACTAACTCTCCGATATTACTCACATAAAAATATTGTAAATAATTCTAATGAAAAAATAAATAAAAATGTGTTGAGTTAAAATAAAATAAAATCACATTAATTAAATAAAAAATAAATTCAAATAAAACACAATAAACTAATTAAAAATATAATAAAATAAGTTAAAATCTTTTTTAGGTGAGGTGTATCTTTTTTTTTTCTTCTTTCACCTTTTTAAAAAATAATTTATATAACTGTTATTTTTAAACGAATTACACGTTAAAGACTAATATTTTTTATAAATAAAAATAAGTTATAAATGGATTAATAATGTGTCGCATTTGTATCAACTTGAAGCGTTTAATAAACGAGTTATTTCGAGTTGAAAGGTTTACGTCCTATTAACCCTTTATTTAATCGTATTTAACAATCGATTTCGACCCAAACCCATTTACGCAAACTTAAACTTTATTTTATGTGAATTTTGAGTCGTACTCCTCTTCCTCTCTTTTCTTCCTTCCTCCTTCTTCCTCTACCCATCTCTACCGCCGGCAACAACCAACATCAGTGCTGCCCAATCCCGTCAGCCACTGTCACGCCCACTCCCGCCGGCCCCACCACGCCGAAACCTCCTTGAGGCCAAGTTTTACTTGAATGGTGTTTGGAAACGGTTCAGTTGAGCTTCTCGTACTCTCTCCTCATTTATGTGAAATCATTTTTTTGAACGGGTAATTTCAGGAGAGAATATTGGAGGAAGTTGATATGGAATGTCATTATTTTGGTTCTTGAAATTGCTAATTGAAGCAAAAAAATGGTCAAGATTTATTTAGCTCTGTTTAAATTTTGAGACTTTAAACTGAATATTCTATCCAAAATCCTGAATTTATTTACTTCATCTCACCATTCCTATGCATTGAAGGCTAGTTTTACATTAAAGTTTAGTGCGTTTAAGTGTACCATTGCTTTCCTTATTTTGGTTTTGAAGAATCTAATGTTTGACTGATGTGATTCAGATCAGATTGTTTGGTGAAGATTTTGATGAAAGTCTACTGGGTTCAAGGTATCTGATGGAATGCTATGTTTAGGATTTTTTATAACCACATTTCATCTTTTTCCCCCTAAATCTAACAAGCACTTGGTTCAATAATTGTGTGCTAGTGACTGATGGTATTTTGGATATCCTTAGTTGCTTGTGGCTGAATCAAAATGGAAATTGACTCAGGTTCTGGAAAAAGCAACAAAGAAGAGGTATGGGTTGATAAATAACCTTGTTCTCTCGAAGATCTTGCAGTTCAAAAAAAGAAGTTGAACTTGAAGTAGCTTTTAGCTTTTCAAATAGTAATTTCAGGTTGAGGAAGTTAAAGTATGGTTTGAAGAAAGATTGGGAACTTCAAATGCATTTGCATTATAATCAAATCTTACTTGAAAACGTAATTTTTTATTCTTCATTTGAACGGTTGGAGAGTCTTAGGGCTTGTTCTTTTGATATTTTTGAGTTAGATAACTTGAGTGTAGATTTTGAATTGAGTTTGAGTTATAACTTGAGTTGAAATTATAACTTGAGTTTGTGTTTGGTTGTGTACATTTGAGTTATGGTTTGAGATAAGAATCTTTTTTGAGTTTGTGTTTGAGTAAGTTAAAACTTGAATTTATTTTTAGATAGTATTTTAATAAAAATTCAATGTTGGTGAAAAATTTTAATAGGGTATATGGGTCTAGTTTTATTCGTATTTTCGTTGTCAATGCATAGAAAAAAAATCATCTCAATCAGAATTAAAACGAAAAAGTTATAGCATTTTTAAGAATAGAAAAAATACTGTTCATTAACTTGAGTTCGAGTTTCTGAACTCGAGTTGAAGGGAAAACTTGAACTCGAGTTTTAGTTCCAAACTCAAGTTTAAACTCGAGTTCAAACTCGAGTTCAAACTTAAAAGAACATAAACTCGAATAAAGTTATAACTCGAGTTACCTTTTTTTGAGTTTTTCACTCAAAAACTACATTGCCGAACAAGCCCTTAGTTCCCTTTGACATTCTTGTCTCCTATGTAAAAAACTAGCTATTCTTTTTCAAGTCAAATATCTTTTACGTCAAAACAGTTCTTTTTTGAAATGGTCTTTATAATGCTGTAGTGAATTTGAGAGATTTAAGCTTTGTTCAGTTCGCCGATTTGAGTTTAATTCGAGTTAAGATGTGATTTTATATGAGAGTTTTTAACTGTAACAGAAAAAGTTATATGTGACTTTTTATAAGAACGTTTAATTGTAATAAAATTAAAATTAAAAATTTAAATTGATAAAATGAATGAGAATACTACAATTGAAAAGTTTTTATATTTTACTATTGGACTCTAGTTTGCAGGCATATAGGTCTGTCGCTTCGTCAAAGTTAGGCAAATCTTGGATAAACTTGAAAGCATGATGCCAATTCTTCTTGAACAGAGTAACATGTTTTCTTATATCAAAATGCCAGTTTATAATGAAATCTCCTCATGTTTTGTGTTTTGCAGCGTCATGCAAGGGCTGCCTATAATGAAAATGCTAGTTTATAATAAATTCTAGTCTCAAACTTGTAGGAAACATTGGGTTTTTTTTTTTTTTTTTTTTTTTTTTACATTTTTTTTTTCTCTTTACAAAAATTTGGGTTTTTTTTTTTTTTTTTTTTTGTTCTACATTTTGTTTTCCTCATATCAAAGTATGGGGTTCCTGGGGAGTTGCAAAACAGAATGTCCTGAGTTTCTCATTTAAATAGGCTTTCCCTTCATTTCTTCTTTTAATACTTTCTTTCCTCTTTCTCTTTTTTTTTTTTTTGGCCAACTTGAAATATTTGTATTATTATTATGGATATAAATCTTTGTGAACTCTTTACGTGAGAAATGTTGTTGTAAAAGTGTGTATCATTACTGCTTAGACCTGAATGGTGAATATTGTAGATTTCTATTAAATCTGCTCCTTCTTTGTCATTTTTAACGAACTCACATGCCTGTCAGAGAATTTCTGCCGTTTGGTAGAATTGAGTATTATGGGCCTGTTTGTTTGCGTTTTCATTTTCGTTTTTCACGGTTTTCAAAGTAAAAAAATGAAAACGGGTGTTAAAAACGTGTTTGGTGCAATTTTTTTTAAAAAACAAAACCAAAAACATTTGTCTTTTTGTGGAAATCAGAAAACGAAAAAAAGGTGTTTTCATTTTCTCGTTTTCGTTTTCTGTTTTCTGAAAAACGGATTTCACTTTTTTTTTTTTTTCATTTTCTTCCCTCTTTTCTGAAACCGTTTTTGTATTATATATGTTTATTTAATATATTTATTTAATATATTATTATTTAATA